CAGATCTCGTAATAATCAATACTAATTGCCACATGTACGATCAGGATCGAAGACTTGAATATTCTTCCCATATTACCCTTATTTTGCCACGCATCGAATTGTAATTGGCTTGTACAAAATATGTAACCAATATTACCCCCCGCACTAATATACCCAATACTTGGTGATATTAGTGGATCAAGGTCTCTTTCCCACGTCTTAGAACGTGCATGGGTTTTGCATTCTCCCAGAAATGCAACTGTCATTCATCATCTGCATTAAACTCTCATTCAATCTTTTGAACACCCCCACCACCTTAGTATTCGAACAGACTGATACATTTTTTATGGCCGAATCAATTTTTCCCTTCATTGATCGAGCACACGAAGAGTCATATGATGATGCTGTTCTTCTTCGAAAGAACCTCCATGCATTAATTAGCCACCTTTACTCACCTTTCTATATTCAGGTCATGGATGCCTTTGCAAATTATCAACCCTTGGACTTCGAACATATTGCCCTTAATCCTTCGATTCAGAAATTCACAAATATGGACATGGGAAGTTCTTCTTCTGACTCACCCTTAGACTACGAACAAACTGCTCTTAATCCTTTGATTCAGAAAGTTGCAAATATGGACATGGGAAGTTCTTCTTCACAACCCTCTACATGGGACAAGGCTGCGACTTCTTCCTCTTCTAGGGCTTCTGACTGGACAAGCTGGTCAAAACCTGAGGCCTGTGATTTGAGGGAACGAATCAACCATCACTTTGTCAAATTTACTGACCCTTTAGAGTTCCCTTCTTATGTGCGAAGCTCAGTGGTCTATCCCTATGTGCCCATTGACCATCGACGCAGTTTGGAGAAGAATATGCTCATGGCATGGTATACATCCTCCATACCTACAAAGATAGTGCACGCCGCCTGACACCTGGAAGAGGCACAAGGGTACAATCCATCATTCTTAGCCTAGAAGGCGAAGATTTGTTCTTCTAACTGGCTCGATTATATTAATGCCCTTGTTCCTTCTCCTGAAATAGAAGCATTCACACCTTCCCCTTCGCCAAATCCTTGCTGGACAGAAAGATTGAGGCTTACCCTCTTCGCAGATAAGATCTTTCCACCTTACAAGCCTCCACCTTCCCCTACTCCAGCTGAGCGGAAGCAAGCTCAACTTCTGCTTGCGGCTTTCTCTCAGTTGCTCTTCAATGTTCTTGAGGACGAAGTCCCTTTCAAGAACCTTCGATGGGCTTGTGATATTCTGACTCGGAGTCATGTCCTCAATCCCCTCACCCAAGCAGAGCTTCACATGTTTTTGGACCAACTTCCATTGCTTCTCCACTGGCATCAAACCTCCATGGCTACCATACAATCTTTAGACCAACTCTCGTCCCTTCGAGTTCATGCCCAGTACGAAGCAGAGAACTTCATTGAAGAATTTAATGATTTCAAGAATAAAGATTCTGCGTACTGGGATGACTTGGATATAGACGAATTGGAACAAGGATTGAGAGAAACAACATTCGAAATAAAGGCTGAAGAGCTCTTTTACGAAGTGAGAGCACATCAACTCATGCAACCAATGTTAGAAGAAATAGAGGATAGAATAAAGAAAGAACAGAAATTCATTGATCATAGTAGGACTAAATTTCATGATTTTGTTATTTATTCCATTCCTTACTTTTATGAGCTTGAGTTTGTACCCAAATAGGGCCATTCGATGTAATTGCTCTTGTTTTAATACCACAAAGACTTTTTTTTTCTTTATTTGGCATTGTTTGATCTTGTCTCCATTTGTCTTTAAAAGCAAATTCAAGGCTTCGAACTGAACAACCTTATCCTTTGAATCTGGACTCAATTGTTTAAAATGAAACACTAAAAACCAACATGAACTTTTCCAATTTATGGAATAATAGTTGACAATTTTCGCTGATTTTCATTTAGAATCAGTGCTTCGAATTCAACAGTCCTACCCCTTAAAGTTTATTTTGATCATAACCAACATATAGTCATGGTCAGTATGATCAATCAGTTTTAAATTGACCATTTTTTCCTAGAATAACAGTCCATACTTTCTGTACGGGGAGCAAATATTCCGGCGTGCCCGTATTCCTTTCTTCCGAGCTCCGTCGATGTCCGATCACCTGCGAGCAAGTAATGGTGAGCTACCCGGCGGTGTGTGGCCGGAAAAACCCTCCGACGGTCAAGTTAGCACACACCTTGGAGGGAATAGAGAGAAGGGAGAGAGTGTTTTAGTGTAAGAAATCCTTACAAATGTGTTCGTGTGTTCCGTATGGGGGGCGCAGGCATGCTTTTATACCTTCTGAGCCCCATATCCACTCCCAGTCATCTCCTGACACGTGGCTCTGCTATCCCATCTGTCAGCATAAACCATGCCCTTCACCACCTAACCTCAACTGCCTGACTTCGCAGCTGGAGCTCGGCAGCCGAGCTGCTCTTCCTCGGCCATGTCATGCTTCGTACTCATGCGCCTAGCCGGACAAACACGTGGATGACCGGGCTAGGCGGCATCTCGGCAAAGCCTAGCCCGGGCACCTCCTTTGGTTGGCCTTCCTGCCGGTCAGTCAACTATCTCGGCTGACCGCGCCTTTCCGGGCGCCGGTCTCTCAGCCTGTCTGGCTTCGACCATCCTCGGACCGAGCATCCTGGTCTGACCGGTCACTTCCTGGCCGAGCAATTTCTGTACGATCCGGGGTGGCACACACTCGGTCCATACTCTGCCCGGCCCAGGTTTTGGCAGCCCTTCTCTGGGCGAACAGTGGGTCATCTCGGCCCAATGCACTGCTGGGCTCTCAACCTGATCGGTCGATATCTCGGCCCAACTCCAGATCATAAATCACCCTCTCACTTTCAAAAATATGAAAGCTCCTTTTTAAGGCTGCACTGTTTTAGTCTAGAAAGAGAATCTTTCTTAAACACAAACCAATTATTGGTTTTGATGTTTCGAACAGCAATTCCCATCTTTAAGGAATCTCAAGTCTTACTTTGAAGGACATTACTTTCCTTGAGAAACCTAAAACAGGTCTTTAATTTCTTCGAAGTAAACTAATACTTGAGCATTCTTTCATCCATAAGTATGAAATGTACTTCGAAGCTGGCTTTTAGTTTCGAAGCCGTTTCCATTGATCGAGCACACGGAGAGTCATATGATAATGCTGTTCTTCCTTGAAAGAACCTCCATGCATTAATTAGCCACCTTTACCCACCTTTCTATATTCAGGTCATGGTTGCCTTTGCAAATTATCAACCCTTGGACTTCGAACATATTGCCCTTAATCTTTTGATTCAAAAACTCACAAATATGGACATAGGAAGTTCTTCTTCTGACTCACCCTTAGACTAAGAACAAACTGCTCTCAATCCTTTGATCCAGAAAGTTGCAAATATGGACATGGGAAGTTCTTCTTCACAACCCTCTACATGG